TTTCTTGGCTAGACCATCACCAGATACCACCTGCTTGTGTGACCTTCTAGAATCTAGTCTGGGCTGTTGAAAGGAGAGCAGTCAAATCACTCTTGACAGAGCAGAAAGAGATGCATTTCTTTCTTATGCCTTTTAAAGGGTCTCTGCACTCTAGTTCATTAGGCTATTCCTTTATGCAATACAAATTTATTTTGATTGTTTTGCTTGTTTGCATAAGGCAACTGGCTTTATCTCCTTCAGTAGAAGGAGAGAGAGTCACTAACTCTTTATATAGTATTTCCTATGTGCTGGACATTGGTCTAAGGGCTTTACATAGATTAATTTATTCTCCACAACAACACTATGAGGAGATATTATTATGTCTTAATAAAATTCCTGTCTTTCATATAAGAAAATAGAGGTACAGGAGGCCAAGTAATGCCTAAGATTACAAAGCTAGTATAACCAAATTTGTAAGATTGGAAATGGAAAATACTAGAAAGATTCTATTGTCAGTAGAAACCTAGATGAATGGTGGCCCATAATATGAGCTCTCTTTTTTGCAAGGGAAGTGCCTTGAAAATATGTTCTAAAACACTAGATTTTATCTATATAGCGCTATGGAATCCCAATCAATTTAGGATATATGGTTCTTCTGTAGCACATAAATACCGATGAAAAAGTATATTTATTAATGTTGGCCACCACTGGAATAAATAGGAAAGTCAGCTGTTATGCTTAGTTCAATGTTGATAACAAAACCTTATTTTATTTTAGGATTGTGTAGGGCTGTTGACCCCACAGGGTCATGGGGTGTCCCTTCTGGTTTGCTGAGGTGCTGAATCTGAGAAATAAAGAGACAGGACACTGAAGAACTGGAGAAGAGCAGCTGGACTCAGGGGGCCACACCACCTATGAGCGGAGACAGGCGAGGCCCCGAATGTCCAGAAGCGTCTGTATTAGGTACAAGGAGGTGGAAGAGTCATAAGTGAGGTCATCATCTATAGGCTTAGTGATAGGGCATACATAATCATGTGAGTAACAAGCGAGGGGGCCACCCCATTATGTTACCTGGGCAGAGAGGTGGGCCGTGCGTGGTAGGGGGCGATGCCATCTGCACTAGTAGAGGGTTGTGTACAGAAAGGGGGTCCACTCCCATTAGGTTACTAAGCAGGGAGGTAGGCTGTGTGCAGCAGGTGTCGTGCACAATACTTCTTACCTGGGGGCTGGAGACTTCAAAGGATTTCTAATAGAAAGATACTGTAAGCCAATGCAGTGGGAGCTGACAGACTTGTGCTCTTCTCTAAGATATTTATGGGAGGCTGATTTGAGCTAGCACAGAAGCGAGAAAAGACTGACGGGGTATATAGTCGCCATGACCTGGTCACACCAGAGGCGTTCTTCTCCCTCGGTTATTTGCAGGATCTCAGGCTTGAGGCCTACTTTCCACAGGAAATGCATGCAAGGTACTACAACTCCTTTATCAGGAGGAGAGGCTCTTGCTCCAAGCCTGCCATACAACGTATGCCCTTTCAGGCAGGGATGCCACCGCCTGGGTCTTTGGTTCTTGTCCTGGTCTGGCTGTTTTTCCATGTACTGCTTCTGCTCTGTGACTGCTCTAGGCATTCTTCCTACTACAAACTACTATGTGGTTATATAGAAGGATTATATAAGTCAGCACTAAATGTGTTGGTACAGCTCTGACTACAATACCTATAGGATTATATAGAAAGATTATGTGGAACTAGATGTAAGTACTAAGTATGATTATATAAGCTAGATATATGTAAGCAGTAAGTTATACTTCAGGCACTAATTCTATAAACTAACATATGATTATATATAAAGGATTATATAAAGGAAATAGCTGAGTTATAACACTATAAACTAAGGTATTCTTCCGGTACTAATTGTGCCTGGGGTTTGCACAGCTCTCCTTCCTTCGTGCCCATGTTTTGGGGCTACCCACAGGATTGTATTTCCCCTAGGACAACAATAATAAAAATGTTTTTAGGAATGATGCTTCATCAGTTAAGAAAAATTATTGATAGAAGAGAATAATTTTTGTATGATTGATATATAATTTGTTATTTCTTAAATATCCAGTTATATAGGTATATTATCCATTTTTGCTCCCATATCGGTATTTGAAGTTAAATGAAAATTGTCATTTATGTATCAAATATTTTACAAGTATAAAATCAACTCCAATTTGAGCGATTCACAATTTAAAGACTTTAATTTTAGTAACAATAATTATATGGTAAAAATTTGGACATTTAGATAATTATGGGAGGGCAGTTGTGCTTTAATGAAAACTTCATTAAATTAATAATACATTTATTTATTTATTTTGTTGCATTTGCCTTTGGGGTCTTAGTCATACATTTTTTACCTAGGGAATGTTGAGAATAGTTTTTTTTTTTTTTTTTTGTTTCTTTTTTTTTTTTTTTTTTTTTTGTAGGTTTTCTTCTAGAATTTTTCTGGTTTTCGGGCTTAGAGTTAAGTCTTTAATTGAGCTGGAGTTAATTTTTGTATAATGTGAGAGGGGGATCCAGTTTCATTCTTCTACATGTGGCTATCCACTTTTCCAAGCACCATTTATAGAATAGAGTATTCTTTCCCCAGTGTATTTTTTGTGTGCTTTGTCAGAGATCAGTTGGTTGTAAGTATGTGGCTTTATTTCTGGATGCTCTATTCTGTTTCATTGATCTATGTGTCTACTTTTATACAAGTACCATGCTGTTTTGGTTACTGTAGCCCTGTATTTATAGTGTAATTTGGAGTCAGGTAATGTGATGCCACCATATTTGTGCTTTTCGCCTAGGATTGCTTTGGCTACTCAGGTTCTTTTTTGATTCCATAAAAATTTTAGGATTTTATTTTCTAATTCTGTGAAAAATGATGTATTTTGATAGGAATTTCACTGAATCTGTAGATTGCTTTAGGCAGTATGGTCATTTTCACAATATCGATTCTTCCAATCTATGAGCATGGGATATTTTTCCATTTGTTTGTGTCATCTGTGATCGCTGCACAACCAAAGAAATAATTAGCAGAATAAACAGATGACCTTTAGAATGGGAGAAAATATTTGCAAAGCATACATCCAAAATAGGACTAATATCCAGAATCTACAAGGAACTCAAGAAAATTAGCAAGAAAAGAAAGCAAATAATCCCATGAAAAGGTAGGCAAATGACACGAACAAACACTTCTCAAAAGAAAACATACAAATGGCTAACAAATATATGAAAAAATGTTCAACATCATTAATCATCAAGGAAATGCAAATTAAAATCACAGCAAGATACCAGCATACCCCAGCGAGAATTGCCATTATTAGAAAGTCAAAAAACAATAGATGTTGGTAAGGGTATGGTGAAAAGCAAATGCTTATACCCTGCTGATGGAAGTTAAATTATTACAGTGTCTGTGGAAAACAGTATGGAGATTTCTCAAAGAATTAAAAATGGAACTACCATTTAATCCAGCAGTCCCACTACTGAATATCAAAAAGATACCTGCATGTGTATGTTTATCTCAGCACAGTTCACAATTGCAAAGATATGGCATGACTTACGTGTCCATCAACTGATGAATAAAAACATGTGGTGTGTATATGTGTATACACACTATCTGTCTATCTATCTATCTATCTATCTATCTATCTATCTATCTATCTATCTATCTATCTATGTATCTATATCTATATGTCTGTCTGTCTATCTACCTATCTATCTACACATGCATACACCATAGACTACTACTCAGCCATAAAAAAGAATGAAATAATGTCTTTTGCAGCAACTTTTGATGGAACCAGAGACCATTATCCTAAGTGAAGTAACTCAAGAACAGAAAACCAAATACTGCATGTTCTCACTAATAAGAGGGAGATAATCTATTCGGGTGATGGGTATGCTAAAAGCTGAGACTTCACCATTATGCTGTTCACCCATGTAACCAAAAACAACTTGTACTCCTAAAGCTATTGAAATTAAAAAAATTTAAAAACAGTAATACAAAGCTTATTTAGTATTACAGTATTTAGAAACAATATATTTAAATAAAAGCTGAATAAATCACAACCACTAGACGCTTATGCTGATGAATGCTTTACATCAAAACATAAATAGTCACCACTTTGGACGTGAGTTAGTGGTGTGTGTGTGTGTGTGCGTGCGTGTGTGTGTGTGTGTGTAGTAAGTGGAGAATGTTGGGGAGGTGTATGATAGTGAACAGATTAATTTAACAAAGTGTAATTTTTCACAGTTGTATTTGTGTAGATATTCTAAATTCTATTATTGGTGTGCTTTGCTTTATGGACTAGATGTATGCATTAAGGAAAATTACCTGAATGTCATGGTGTTTGTTCAAATGATTTATTCCAAGATACGTTCTTTAGTGAAGAGGGGAAATATAGTGGCTCACCAATGGCTTAAAGGAACTACAACAATAACATTTGTGTTAAAGTATCACAGAAAATAAATATAAAGTCTCACAACGATTTTTTAGAGACATAAATATCTATGGTTAGTTTTGCGTTTAGCACATTTGCTTGAAAGTTTAAAGGAAGGAGGGCAAATGAAGAGAACACACTGAATTGTTTGGTTACACAACTGCCGTAACCCCACTTTAAGGTTCTACGAGTGATGCTGGACAGCTCCCCTTGGTTGCCGTGATACTGTTTCCTAGCATTTCCTAGGAGCTATTGATTTAGGAATGAGATGATTGAACTTAATAAGGGGGGATTTAGGGCATGGATGAGGAAAATTCATTAAATATAGTAGCAACTGAATAAATTCACAAAAATATTAGCAATAGTAAATAATTGGGCAGACTATTTAGTGAAATAACATGACAGAGAGGGAGTAACAGCTTAGCATGTGTTTAGCAAGTGTTTTTATTTAAACCCTTTTTCCATTTTCATTAAGATTGAATTTATATTCTAAGGTATTATCAAATAAAGTAGCATGATGTCTTTTGTATTTTAAATCTTTTTTCCTTACTCTTTCCAGGACTGAAGTGTGTATGCCTTTTGTGTGATTCTTCAAACTTTACCTGCCAAACAGAAGGAGCATGTTGGGCATCAGTCATGCTAACCAATGGAAGAGAACAGGTGATCAAATCCTGTGTCTCCCTTCCAGAACTGAATGCTCAAGTCTTCTGTCATAGTTCCAACAATATTACTAAAACTGAATGCTGCTTTACAGATTTTTGCAACAACATAACACTGCACCTTCCAACAGGTAAGGGGTTTATCTTTGTTCATTCCAAATTTAATTTTACTCTTGGGAAACTATAAGAATGGTAGAAATCAAACTGTCTTATGTTTCTTTAAGAAAATCTGTTTTACAGTTCTCTTTTTAATTTTGGCTGGCAAAATTCTCTAGAGTCGAGCTGAGGTTGAGTTTTAAAAAACTGCACATCATTGTCAAAACATTGACAACAACATAACAATTTTGAAGAAATGTGTTCACGTGAATTGTATTTTTGAAATGATTAATGGACATAAAGTAAAATGTAAATTTTTATGGATTTTTAAAAAAGAAATTGAGATTGCTTCTTGGCTTTTTGGCTAAGATCATGTGTAAAAGAAATTGAGATATATACCAGGAAGAAAAAGAGCATAACTAAAAATAGCAGATTGCCAACTTTTATGGGGACAGAATCTTTTTTTCAGGGGTATCCTCTGCATATCTTCTTCATCTACCCACATTCAAGCAAGGGCACACCCTATAGAGACAGAAGCAGAATGGAATTCGACCTTTGATCATTGTTCAGATGTGTTTCTGTCTTTAGTCAAATTATACAGTGCTTTATCCTAATTTATAAGATGCTCAAAATCCTGATCTGGCCCTTTATCAGGAATCTGGGATCTGCAACTTTGAGAGATATTAACAGGCATGTAGTTCTGAATTTAAAACTAGTTTAGGATGTGAAAATGGTCCTGCAGTTGAATTTCTTTAATATTTTTAATATAACAATAATTTAATGATTATCAGTACAGTTATATCTATATGGAGATACATATACCTCCTTACAAATTAACATTTTAAGGCAATGTTATGTAATCTCAGATGTTCATATGTCATCATATCAATATACCACTGAAGCACTTTTTACCTATTTTTAAAATAAACTAACTGCCTTTTAATTGAAAAACATTTATTTCATAAAATATAGTATCATGATCTCAAATTAAAAACCAGTTTACTTGCCCTAAATAGAAGATAACTATGTAAATAAACAAACAATGCTACTGCATTTCAGTTAGGTATTTTGCATTTTCTCTTTGTTTAAAGGAGAGAAGAAATAAGTGTAAAAGACATATTAGCAGGAAACGAGACTTTTTGATACAAAATTAAAAAAAAAAGAAAAACTAAGAGAATAAGAGAAGGAATCATTATATGACTCAGTGCTGTTTAATATTATGTTTGTTTACCATCCCAATTCATCTCAGAAAAAGCTTTTAAAGTAATTCCATGTACTACTGCTAGTACTTGTCCCAATCCTTGGAAACACTGTTTTAAGGCATTATCATGTATACCGCAACTTCAAAAGTTATACTTGGCATATTTCATCCCTGAACGGTACTTGCAGTCATGGATTTTAGACCACACTTATTCTCTCTGTCTCAGATTCCATAGACATCCTTGCTTTGGTAGTGATCTGGGATCTATTATGGACACTTGTTTCCTTACATTTTATCCCCCAGTTTATCTGTGCACCAGAGATACCCTAAAGTGAAGGCTCCTTATGTTTGATGGTCTTCTCCATAGCCAAATACAAAGGATTTTGGGGGTGAAAAGGAGAGTCTCCTCATTAGCTGTGGCAGTGACCTATAATGTGTCTTTCCAATAGGGAACGATCCTTAAGACTACATACTTTGACCTAAAAAAATGTATTAGAGGGCAAGATGTCTCTAATCTTGGGCAAATCAAAGGTACTTAGTGTAGCTAGAATGTAGCTCCTCCCCAGCCCAACTCTAAATTCTGCCAAAGTACTGAGAGGTCTATATGTTCTACCCTTAAGTTAGTCAGGAACCGGTCTTTCTTTTTCAAAAATTAACTTCATTAAGGTCTAATTTAGGTATAAGAAAGTGTACACATTTTATTATTTATTTATTTATAAAAAATAGTTTATCAAGAATATATGTGATGAACAGTGGGAGGACAGCAGGTGATTTTTTTAATGTGCACATTGGTTGTCATTTAGGTATCTTCTTCTATAAAGCGTCTATTCAAGTGTTTATGAAAAATTGGGTTTTTTATCTCTTGTGGTTGAATATGAAGAGTTCTTTATATATTCTGAATACAAGTCCTTTATTAGATACATATATTGTGACTGTTTTCTTCCATTCTGTGGTTTGCCATTTTGTTTTCTTGAAGGTATTTTTTACAGAGCACAAAGTTGAAATTTTGTTGAAGTCTGATCTATCTTTTTTTAAAAAAATTATGGTAGTTAACTAGTTTCATGTCCTGAGTTTTTGTCTACTCAAAACTTATATATGTATATTTTTATGGTTTCTTCAAGAGGTTTTATTTCAGTTTTTATAGTTAGTTTCAATTTTTACATTTAGTTTCAACTTAATTTGTGTTATTATGTGAGGTTAAGGTGAAGTTTTATTTTTTCCATGTGGATATGAAGTTGTTCTAGGATCATTAATTGAAAGTCTATTCTTTATTCATTGAGTTATGGTGGCACTTTGGTTGAAAATAATCTTATATATGTGGGTGTATTTCTGGCCTCTTCTATTTGATTGTTCTATATGTCTTCTATTACTGTCAAACTGTTTAGATTATTGTAGTTTTATAGTACGTATTGAAATCCAGTTTTGTGACTTCTCCAACTTTGTTTTCCCAAATTGATTTGCCTATTATAAGTCCTTTGCATTTTTATTTAAATTTTAGAATCCACTTGACAATTCCTACAAAAACACATGCTGAGATTTTGATTAAATTAAGTATATAGATTAATTTGCAGATAATAATCATGTTCATGTTCACAATATTGAACTTTTAATCCATGAACATAGTATTTTTTTTTACTTATTTAGTTCTGCACTTAACATGCTTTGTAGTTATCAGAGAAGAGATTTTATAAATATTTTGTTGATTTTATCTCTAAGTAATGCATGCTTTTGATGCTATTGTGAATGGTATTTTTAACATCTCAATTTCTAAATATTAATTGCTAGTATATGATGATAAAATTAATTTTCCTTCTATTGAATTCATTATATACTGAAAGCTTGTGAAAATAAATTATAGACCAGGTGCAGTGGCTCACGCCAATAGTCCCAGAATTTTGGAAGGCCAAGGCGGGTGGCTCACTTGAGGTTGTGAGTATGAAACCAGCCTAGCCAACATGGTGAAACCCCAATTCTACTAAAAATTAGCTGGGTATGGTGGTGCACGCCTGTGATCCCAGCCACTTGAGAGGCTGCTGGAACCTGGGAGGCGGAGGTTGCAGTGAGCCAAGATCACGCCACTGCACTCCAATCTGGATGATATACCGAGACTCCATCTCAAAGTATATATAATATATACATTATATATATATATACACACACACATATATGTTATTTATGATAGGTATACATTATCACATCATATATATGATAAATATGTGTGTGTGTATATATATTAGCTCTAGTAGCTTTTTTCTAGATTCTTTGGCATTTTCTGCATATATAATCATCTTATCAATGAATATAGACCATAATTTATATCTTCCATTCTGATACATAGATAATACAGAATTTTCTTTCTTTTGTGTTTTTGCACTGGATGGAACCGCCAATATAATGATGAATAGGAGTGGTGAGAGTGAAGATCCTTGCCTTTTTCCTGATTCTAGGAGGAGTGCATTCATTCTTTTACTCTTAAGTATGATGTTAACTCTGGGTATTTTGTAGATGCCTGTTATCAGTTGAGGAAATTTGCTTGTATTCCTAGTTTGGTGAAAATTTCTCTTTAAAATCATGAATGGATGTTAAAGTTTTAAAACAAAGCTTCATGAGTTTATTGAGATTATCAAGTGATTTTTTTCTTTAGTCTCTTCATATGATGGATTGCATTAATTGGTTTTCAAATGTTATCTATAATAGGGAATATATGTATTGTCTGGCCACTAATTAATGTCTACAAGAAATGCTGTGTAACATTTAATTGAATTTAAGCTTCCTTTTAATTTTTTTTTTTTTAAAGACAGTGCCTTGTTCCATGGCTCACTGCAGCCTTGAACTCCTGGGCTCAAATGGTCTTTCTACCTTAGCCTTCTGTATGTGGGACTACAGGAACATGCCACCACACCTGGCTAATTTCAAAAGAATTTTTTTTGAGATGGTGTCTGTCAGTGTCGCCCAGGCTTATCTCAAACTCATGGCCTTAAGCAATCTTCCTCCCTCGGCCTCCCAAAATGTTGGCATTACAGGCATGAGCTACTGCACATGGTCAGATGCAAACCTTTTTATTTGAAAACGCTGGGGACTTTCCGGCTGAGCACTGGATGATGTAGCTAGTGCCAATAACTCCACTGTTTCTGCGTCATCAGAGGGTGTGATTGACATCTCCCCCTCTGCCTGTAGGGATTTGTCAATTTCAAAGTGATCACAAAATAGGAAATACAGAAATGCACTCTGTAAAGTAGATAGTGTGATATTTCTACAGTGCTTGATAGTCTGCATCATGTCCATGTACTACACAGTAGAAGAAAGGTCGGGAGGTGACCAGAAGAAGTAGGACAAAATCTTGGACTTCCCTTTACAGTTTCATCTGAAAGCCAAGTGGATCCTTGCCTCTCTGGCTCTTTCATCAGTCACCCCAGATGGTGGGGTCATTTCTGGGTAGCTGACTTGATGTAAGTGCAGTAACTCAGTCTCGTGCTTCAGCTGGTCCTCTCTTCTGCACTTAGATCCTATTTGTAACAGTTGGACCTTTGCTTTATTTTTTTTGTGGTTACAAAATTTTTCTCCTGACTGTAGCTCATGACTCTCTTCCCCTAGTGGGTGTGTACCTTTACAGTGGGTTTTGCCTGTGAGCCCCCTAATCAGTCCCCCTCAATTCTTCTCACAATTCCTGCCTGATTTTGTGTAATTTTGGCTTTCTGTCTCTATTCAGCAATGTCTCTTAAACTCTTTTTTTCATATTTTCTAATTTTTGAATCGTTGATGATTTCAATATCTACAGTCTCTGTGGGTTTGGTTTTGCTGTTTTTTATTCTGCTAAGTCATATTCTTGGTGAC